CCCGGCTCCGCTCCGCTCTGCGCCCTCCGCCTCGCGACGCCTCCCGCCCAGAGCGCAGCCCCGGGACCGCCTCCCGCCGCGCCCGGCCCCGGCCCCGGGAGCCGCCGCGAGCAGCGGCTGCAGCGGGGGGGCTCCGCCGGAGGGCCCCTTTAATGCGCCCGGAGAAGGGGTGTTGCTTTGAAAGTTAAAAAAAAAAAAAAAAAACCTCCCCCCCCCCAAAAAAAAAAAAAAAAAAAAAAAAAAAAAAAAAAAAAAAAAAAAAAAAAAAAAAAAAAAAAAAAAAAAAAAAAAAAAACCAAAAACTCCCCCTCGTCCCCCCCTCCAGCCCTTCCCCGACGTCCTTTGCAGCCCCGGACACCCCCTCCGTCCCCCGACTCATGCGGCCACTCTGGGGGCGGCGAGTGTCGATACAACGGCTTAAAAATCACCGCTCCGCAGGGCCCTCGCAGGATGCGAATTACGAGGCCGCGTGAGATAGCGAGCGGTGTGTGGCACAGCTGGTATGTAAAATATAACCATCAAACGTCTTGTCATAATCAAATATTCCCTAAATCCGCACTAGCAACATTGCTTTTGAAAGATGTCGTTCCATATAAATGCCTTTAACGCCTGGTAGAAAATTCTTATGAACACGTTGACAAATGAAATAGCCCGAGTTATTTGATTAGTGTCCATGTAATCTGAATATTGGCTTGTATTGGGAAGAGAAACGTCAAGCCTTTAATGTTTTTGAAAGCATAGATTTTCGCTACAATTAAAGGGTAATCTTATACCAATAAAGASAGTGAATCACACGCCGCATGTGCTGTATTAGAGGAATTAAAGAGAGGATAAAGTCAAGAGCTTGTGTTTTCTTTGAAAATTCAGATCGGGCGGAATAAACAACGTTAAGGAGATGACGGAGTTTGGTGGGTGCCCCCAGCCCCGCGCGGGGCTGCATCTGCCGCCCAGCCCGGGGCGGGTGTCGGGACCCCGRGGATCTCTCCCTGTGTCCCTGGGAGCATTTTCTGCCGCTGGATACAGATGCCACAAAGAGAGATTAACTGTTCCCACCGCCGYTCCTAACGCACCCGCTTGCACTCTTGCAGCCGGTACCCAAACAGAGCTATAAAGAGTGYGGAAGGGAGCGCTAGGCGGTTTCACGTGCCGTGGGGAGCACCGTGCGGATGGCGCCTCCTGGAGCGGGATGCGGAGGGATGCGCTGTGCGGGATGTGCTGTGCGGGAGCCCAGCACAGGCGCCCGGCCCGGCCCGGCCCGGGCGCCCCCTCCCACCGCCCCCACGAGGCAGCTTCTGCCCCTGCCCCCTGTTCGAGCCCCTTGCCCGGTACCCCAGCAGCCCCGGAGCGGGGGGACTTAGCGTAAACCCACGCGGGTCCCCGCACCCCGCCGTGCTGCGGAGGCTCCGCGGGGCCCCCGCCCAGCACGGCCCGGGCCGCGGACCCCCGAGCCTCCTGGGCGGGGGGCGCGCGTCGGCCCGGCCGCCTCGCAGCGAGAGGATGTCCCTGCTGCACCGAGGGACCCCGACGCTGCTGGCGCTTGGGGAAGGCGCGCGGGGTGCCCCGCGTGGCCGGGAATCGCGCGCGCTGCGGACACTAGTGGGCACCAGCGAGGCCGAAGGCCGACGAGGCGGGAGGAGGAGGCGGGGGGATTCCTGCTGCCCAGCAGCCGCTTGCTCATTTTTTGTGAATGTCAACGCAGAGGATGTGGGTTTCTTGTATTTCTCCATGATCTCAGTAATCGCTGGGGCTGAACTGGCCAAAGCACGAGAGAGAGAGAGAGAGAGAGAGAAAGCCTTTAAAGTGGTTGCTAGCTCAAGCAGCACATTCAACTTTTAGTCGTGCTCAAAGCTTAAACTGAGAAAGAAGCTCAAAAACCGTCTGAAAATCAGCGGACCCTCTAATCTTTCCTTGTTACAAGGGCTGTGCCGGGCCGGGACTCACACGGGTCCCCCCCAGCCCCAGTAGCTGCGGGGAAGGGTCCCCTCGTCGCTGAAGTTTCGCTCCCGGGGCGGCTTTTGGGGAGCCCCGCTGGGGCAGGCGCCAGGAACCCCCCTCCCCGCCGGGGAGGGCTCTGGCTTCCCGCCCTCGACCTCGAGCCTCCCSCCGGGAGCGGAGCGCGCCGTCGAGCCCCAGCGCCGTCATGCCGAGTGACTCCGCTCGCATCCCTCCCCGTGGCTCTTCTCATTAATTAGGCGSCGTGGCGGGCGCGGGGGAGGGGGCCGGGCTCGGAGCTGGTAATTATTCCAACTTTGGAGACGGCAGCCAGATACCCCGCGGGGCTGGGGCCGGGCTCTGCACCCCGTGTCGGCCTGGGGAGGGGGTCCCTGCAGAGCCCCCGTGGCGAGCGGCGCCCCGCTGAGCCTGGGTGCAGGCTCCGCTCTCCCGCGCCACTAAACCAAGTTTTTTAGCGCCAAACCAAAGCCACTGACTGCGCTGGGAGGGCGCCGGGGAAACGGCCCTTATCCCCCCTCCCCAGGCAACTTCCACGGTAGCGGCCCCCGCAGGCAACTCTGCCCAGGCTCCCCCGCCCCGGGCTTTTGTGGGAGCCGCTGCCGGGGCTCGGGGCGCGCATCCCTGTCCCTGTCCCCGTGGCGCGGGCGGCGGGAGGGCCCCGCGCGCCGCCGCCTCCCGCCTGTCCCCCCTTCCCGTCTCCCGGAACAGGAAAGTCCCGCTTCGGCTTTCCCCCCCCCTCGGATGCTGCCTCCCCCCGCGGCGCTGCTCGCTGCGCTGCTCCCCGCCGCGGCGGCGGGACATGGGCACGGGGCGCCGGGGGCCTCCGCCCGGGCCCGGCCCCGAGCGCTGCCCCCGCCCCGAGCCCGCCCGGAGCCTGCGGCGCTGAGCAGCGAGCCGCGCTCCGCAGCGCCTTGCTTCTTTCTCCTTTCTCCTTTTTTTTTTTTTTTTTTTTTTTTTTTTTTTTTACTTTTTCCCATTTTTCCCCTCCTCCTCGTCGCTTCCGAAGGGGCTGTAAAGTCTGCTGGGAGAGGAAGAGACTGGGGGAGGAGGAAGATTTAAGGAAGAGGGAGGGGGGGAAAATGGCGAGTTGCGGGAGCAGCGCGGAGAAAGYGGCGTTTTTGTGCTGCTTCTTGCTGGCGGCCGCGAGCCTCGCCTGCTGCGCCCGGGCCGAGCAGGAGGAAGAGCGAGAAGAGCAGCGCTCCTGCCACGGAGCCTTTGATCTCTACTTCGTCCTGGACAAGTAAGTGACAGTCACATTTACCAACGCTTATTCACCCTTCAGTGCCTCCCGCCGCAGCGAGGCCGCCCCCCGGTGCCCATCGCGACACGCGGCGCCGGCCCGGGGGGGTCCGGGGGGGCCCGGGCTGGCGGCGCGGCCGGAGGCGGGTGTAAAACCGGCTCTAAGCGCGGCCCAGCTGTGCCGGCCCTGCGGCGCCCGCCTTTGCAGGCGCACTGCGAGGCTTAGCGAGCCTCTTCTTTCTGGTTGGCGTCTTCAGAGTTGCCTAAAYCTGTGCTTGGGACTTGTCTGTCAAAATATGCTGGCAAACACCTTTTTTTTTTTTATTATTTTTTTTTAAACTATGTTACCCTAATTTAGATGTGGCCCCAGGGCATGGCTAAGCTCYCATTTGCAGACGTGTTAGAGCAAGTGTTAGCAAAGGCAGTGGTGAACTGGGGGAGCCGCGGGTATTTCTCAGAAGGCAGAAATTCTGCCCCTCGTGGTGCTGGGACCTGGGCTGGCAACCAGGGGTTAAACTTGAGGAAATTGTTGGCCTCCCACGTGCGGTCAGTGYGATCGTGGTGTTATCCAACATATCCCGGGTAATGCAGTAGATGGGATGATGAGAGATGGAGCCTTTTCTTTGTTAGTCGTGCCCAAAGCCGGGTGTAGGCCTGTGCTGCTGCTGTGTCCCGGCTGGGGCAGGGCTGCTCGCTCCTCAGGCCCCCTGCACAGCCCGTGTGGGGCAGACGGGCCCCTCACACAGGGGTCTGTGTCTTCCCTGCCTGGAGAAGGAGAAAAAAGTGCCRTTCCTTGTCCTCCTGTGTTGGAGCTGGAGCATTCCAGAGACCTGAGGCATTCCGCCTTTCTGACCGTGCGCTCGTGCACAGTGTGTGGTGGCTTTGGTTGGATTCTTGGTTTTCTTTTCTCTCCACTCAGAACTGGTTTGTGAAGGCCCCTTCGTGCCTAGAAGAAGCTCTGCAAAGGACCAGTGTTAGGTGCTCGCATCCRTATCTGACCCTGAGCTAAACTCTTTGTTAGGGCCACCTCCTGTATTAAGTTTGCAGTGGCAATGAATAAATGGTGATAAGTGTTGTTTCTGTGCCATGGTATCTGTTTTTTACTGTATGATTTCCATATTTAAAATGTCATTATGTACCTCCAGAAATCAGAACACTGCCCTTTTATGGCACCTCCAGAAATCAGAACACTGCCCTTTTATGGCAGTCCTTATCTGTAGATCACAATCTACTGTTATTACTTGCCTCATGTTTGGGTAAACTGAGACAGAGAGGAGAATGATCTGCTCAAACCTACTGATATATGAAGGGATAGGAGTTGCACGGTAAGTTATTCAGCATTGTGGATATGTTTTTTTTTWATTTTTTTGGGTTTTGTTTTTTAAGCTGGCTGTAGGTRTAGTACCTTGGTTTGGATACTGCCTCACCTGCATGTTGACCTCACTGCAGACTGATCCTGCTCATGGTTGGTGTGAAAGGCTACGTGTGGAAGCAGGACTGCAGTGGGAAAATTCTCTGGCTTTGGTCGCAAATGAATCTTTATAAACCTCCAAGGGGCATAAAGAGGAACTCCAGTAAGAGAACTACAGTAGAATTTCATTGGTCCTTTAGATGCTTTAGACCCTGCTTTGTTCCTGCTGAAGGCAGTAGCAATGCTGTGGCGAAGCTGCTTCTGTCCTCAGTGAGACTGTGTTACAGTCCATAGGGGTAATATTGGAGTGCCAGATCTTATGATCTGTAGGTGCCATGCCCTTCTCCTGCTGTAACAAGCATGCAGATGGCACTTAGGTGTGCCTGCTGGCAGAGGTGGTGCTTTGTGGGCACCTAGCAGGGCACAGGGAGGCTCCCATGGCAGGGAGCGCTCCTTTAATGGGTTGACTCTACATCTTGGGATGGTTTGTTGGGAGGACTCGGATAACCCATTTGTGTTCAGAAGGGTTGGGGTATTCTTGGCAGGCAGGAGGCAAGGAGCAGCTGGTCAAATGTGAAAAAGTGTGGATATCTATTTTAGAATTAGATTTGTGCTGATGCCTATCTGAGGTCTGCCTCTAATTTCTAGTGGAGAAGCTCCAGAAAAAAAGCAGTGCTGGCACCACAGGATGTCCTGGGGATTGCTGCCCTTCACTGGTGTCTTGCTGGTGTGGCATTAGATGCATGCAGTCGGAATCAGGTGCATAGCCCTGGGACTGAAGCACCGCTGCTGTGAAAACMCTGGGCTTTTGACCCAGCAGTGCTCTCCTCAGCTGAGTGACAGGCCCYGTGTGCAGAGTCAGCCTGGGTAAAGCAAAGGACTTTAAATCCTCTGTGCTTTGCTTCCCCGTAGAGAGATGTGATCTCACAAAACTGGAAGAAGGCAACAGACCTTTCTCTTTGTGCACTGTGTGTTACTRCCATGACTTTACCGGGGGATGACTTTCCTTTCCATTCTGCCAGGCAGAGGCTGTGGGGATCAAATCCTGCAGGCATCAGCAGCAGAGGGGAAAAGATCAGCTGCTGGTGAAGTTATTGGTATAATATATATGGTGCCAATTAGAAGAAGAAACTCACAGACTTCTTCCTATTTTTTTTCTCTTCCTGAAGTTGACTGCGGCTCTTAATACTAATTCCATGGGATAGGGAGCATCAGAGCAGGGGAGCTAAGCCTTGGATGTCCAAGAAGTTGACATGGTGCAAGGGAAAAGCAGTGTGGATGGGAGGGTGACCTGCCACCCTCCTCCTTGGGATTGTCTGACCATGTAAGAGCCATTCTGGGACTGCTTAAATGAGTGGATCTCTTGAAGCTGGGTGAGAAAGAAAACTCCAAAATTGCCTTGAAGCAGCAGTGTGTTCTGTTTGCAGCTGAATTGATGGGGGAAATCTCTCTGGGAGCATATGGTTGTCACACATGGTACCGAAGGTCTCCTGTTCACCTTKAAACAAATACAGTCTTTTGGTTCAACATAACTACTAGCTGAGTATTTTTTATTTGTTTTCCTTGCTCTCCTCGTTTTGATTGCTTGACTTTATTCCAGTCCTGCAGTGACATCTTCATGCTCAAGTATGTAAATATCTGTCTTTCATCCCAGGGCTGCTGTTAACATCCAGCTGTTGTTTGTAATCATGTTTAAATGTACTCGCACAGTGAAAAGATGACTGACCTCTAGTGTTTTCTAATTATAGCAGTGCCTGGTAGCATCGTTCTGATTGTTTATCAGTGCAAAAATTATAAGCCTCTATTTTAAAAGCATTTCAAACTCTGTCATGAATATCTGCTCCTGGCAGTGGTTGACATGGCAGAACAGAGCTGCAGAGCTATCTGTATTTCTTATTCACCAAATAAGAAGAAATTCCTTTGATTATTTTTGGACTGCGTGGCAGGATGGGAAATGGGAGGGAAAAAGAGGGATTTGAGATTCTCAAAAGTATTTTTGCATTTTTCCTGCTGGGTCGCTAAAAAATCATTTGTATTTTGAGTAAAAATGAGCYGCACAGTCCTGGGAAAATGTTTTCTTTTTTTCCACAGTACAGACCATGTCAGTCCAAATGTCTTGTGTAAGGCCCTGGCTGATTTTAGAGCCATGATTCATAATTATTATTTTTTTTTTTTTTTCATTTTTTGGGCTAAGTATGGCTGACCTATGTGCCCTTTCTCTCTTCTACCTGAACTTTCAGTGTACTCTCTTCAGGASGCTCATGTCTCTCAGCCCCACAGCAGTATTGCCACTCACCCCAGTTCTGCTGCTTCTCCTCCTGCGCTCCCAGGCGCATCCCTGCCCCGGCAGCTCTGGTAAAGAGACCGGTAAACGTGGCGAGCGGAGCCTCCTGACTTGGCCTCCGCTTTGCAGCTGCCTCCTTTGAACTGCCTGAGCCTCAGTCCGGAGGCAAAGGTCCCTACTTGGAACTGGTGGGGAAGAGCACAACTGTCACTGAGAGCTGGGAGATCAGGAGCCCTCTCCCATCTCCGGCTTGTTTGGTTTTCTGCCCAAACTTCCCCTTGAAGAGTCAGCTGTTGGCAGGGAAGGGGGAAATGGGTTGAACTCACTCCTTTACTTTGTGCAGGCCAGAAAGCAAGCAGAGTTAAGTCTTTCAGAAACTGCTCTGGACCACTTTTATCATTTCAAGGTAACTACACTGCATTCCCAATCTCCAGAGACTTTGGTTCTACACAATGTCCTTTATTTAAGACAAACAAAAGTTTGGTAAAGACCTTCTGCATTTCCCTCAAAAAAGGCAAGAAAAGCAGGATCTGAATRAATGTGGTGCTCATGAGCACTGAGTTAAAAGTACAAGTGAGAGTGAGTACACATGGAGGGGTCTGGTCATAGGCTTTGCCCGTGGACCTCTGCCTTTCCCCCGCTCCGGCYGTGTTCCCGTGCAGAGCACAGGGGCAGCCGGGCTCTGGGGCATCGCTCCGTGGTGGTCACATGTGTGCATGCTGCCCCACGAGTGGGGGGCTGCCCCACGGCGCCACTGTGCTGAGCAAGCAGGTTGCTCCCGYGGCGGCTGCCCGCACGTGCCGCCCAACCTCATGGCTCTTGGAAACCCTCGTCTTTCACTCCTGGCTGTACTGCTGATGAAGTCTCTTTTGATAAGCAAGAATTATCTATTTACTACAGCTGGGCTTAGGTTCACTCTATGTTTAGGATCTGATGCAGGTAAACTGCCTCTAGACATTGCCAGGATCCATTCACTGTCTGAATAAAAGTAGCAGTCTTTTTTATTAGATTGCATTAGTTATGCTACACTTCTATTTTTAAAAATGTCTATGTCTGTCTTCCTCTTTTTGCCTTTTTCCTCCCATATAACTTAACCACATCACTTACATGACACCTCTTCATGTTCTGCAGATGCCTGCAAGCAATAATCTTTACTGTTTTCAAAACAAAATCTGTTGGAATTTTGCCTATCCATCTTCCTTTGTTGTGGTCATATTGCAGCCAATGCTGTTATTTTTCTTTATTTTTTTTATAACCAGGTAGAACTCTTTGGAATATTTCAAACAAWTTTTTACTCCATTTCAGA